GGAAAGGGGGGGGGGGGGTCAGGCAGCCCCAACTCGCCAAGGAGAGTGGGCTGGAGCGAAGTAGACCTGTGAGTCTCCAAACTAATTTGACCTCCACAGGGGCAAAATCACCAATATTTTCCATTTTAAACTACAACTAAATTTAGAGGTTTTATGGTTGCAGCGTGCCTCCTTTCCCACACTTTCCTGGAGTGATCTCCAAATTCCTCTCCTGTCCTCTCTCATTAAAACATGACTCAGCTCTCCCAGCTGGAAAACTGGAGACCCACGCAGTCCCAAGGTGGCCTGCTGCCATTAGTGATGTCCTGCGTCGGCATTAACCATAAACTTGGGAGCAGCAGTGGCAACAGAAGGCTTTGCAAGTCGGATATGGGGAGAAATCAGTGTTACTGAACCTGTGAGTACTCTGTGAGCAGCTGTGAAACCTATCAACTGGAGTTTCTCATGTCCCTTTTGGGAAAGTTCTCCCAGCACCACGGATTGACCAAGGACACCTGCACAACAGACTCTAATGGAGCAGCAACGCAAAGAGCGAATTCCCTCTCTGCCCTTAAACATTCCCCCAAATTAATACCATATACATCTCAGCCAAGGCAAAATTATGGTCATGGAAAGAAAAACAAATGCAAAGTCAATGCAAAATAGCACCACCTGGTGACACCTACTATAACAATGCCAAGTTCAACATTGTGCTCTACCAACTACAAAATTTGGCAGCTCTTCATTTGCCTTTACTTTTTTTTACTGGACGTAGTGCTGGAGCAATGTCTCCTCTGGAGTGAGCTGCTACTTTTAAGGGTATTTAAACATTTTTGAGAATCGGCTGAGTGACTCCAATGCTGGGATGAGTACTCCATCCACTGGCTCTCACTCCTCCTTCTGGCTTTGTCCTGTCTCCTTTATCAGCTCAGGAGGTTTCTCAGAACACCTTGAAATACACCACCATCAATGCTACAGAGCTTTTTGCAAACGCTTGCTTCAGATTTTCATTGATCTGTGGCTTCAGCATTCCCGGCACTTTGAAATGTCAGCTCAGATATCAAAGTAGTGGAAACAGTTGAATCTGTGAACAATTCCTGTTCATTACATCAAACCGAAAAAACATCATGCTGTTAGACCCTCTCCTGATGCTTTCCACAGATGTGAAAGGCTAGGCTGACAAAACAGCAACAACTGTTCATTTGCCACATCATATAACTGCTTACTTTTATCTGCAGCCACTCTTGTAGATGTCAGGCTATGACTCAGGGGCTCATGAACCCCACACACCCTCTTTCTATTTTTTTCCACATTCGGTTCCATAAAATCAGCTTCTAGTCCACCCCCGATGAAGTCTAGTAGCCACCATAAGGCTTGGCTGTTGCTCACTAGTTATTTTTTCCTAGGAAAAAGAAACCAGACAACACTTGCCCTTGACAAGGATCTAAGTGGCACTGAGAAGTCACATAAACCCTTTTTTGAAGCATTCCTGTCTTGTGCTTTGCTCCACTTCATACAGCATGCTTGCAGAACTGGAACCACTGGAATGCCATGACAACTCCACACCAGACCTACCAGCACGATGCTGCTCTCCATTAGAAGGAGAAAGCCAAGGCTCAAAATCATAACTTTTTCCCTTCTCCCAGTTTGGTCTTAGCATCTTGGTTGACAGTATGGGACCCAAGAGCTCTCTTTATAATTAAAATACAGATTGTTTGCCCACTCTGTTGCAGCACTAGGTGCTCTCAGTGCTTTTTCTGGCCACTGGGAGATGAAGGCAGCCTCTGCAGCACAATGCTTACAAGAACTGTATGATAAACTGCTGCACACGCAATGCTGAGAAACACTGGAATAAACTTGAGTTTGGTGGTTAATACCAAAGGGATTATAATATATTAGGTCAGAAGCACAAAGGCATTCTCAAGCCTCCCTCCTGCACTGAACACAGGGGGTATCACACTGCAGGGCTGTATCCAGCTTCTGCAATGCGTTTGGCTATTTTTCACCTAGTTAGATAAAAAGCAATTACAACGTTAACGAATGGAACAGGGAGAACTCCTTGTGATATGTTTGTTTGCACCTATCGACTGTGATATTTTGCATTGAGCAGAGCTGGATTAGTTCAGGGCTACTGTGTGAGCCTAAGAGTTGACTTTGTGGATTCAGTGGTATTTCCTCTGAATCATTATTGATAGACCTTACTGCAAATATTAAGAGCAAGTATATTCAACTAGGAGTTAAATCTGAGCTCAGATACGAGCACTGTGTTTGTCTGAAGTTCCCCCAACTGTTTCAGCTCTATGAACATTGTTCGCTGCCTAATCTATGGCATTGTGTTACTCCCCATTGCTGAATTACGCCCATCTTCTACTCATGGCTGATTATGGCACAATGGTGGGATTAAAAATCCCTCATCAACAGAATAACGGTTGGAGAAAAAAAAAATAATATTGAAGACATGGAAGTAAATGGGGGGAAGGAGGGACAAAATGCACCTTACTTTGCTTTGATAAGAACAATTTTCTACCCAGTTGCTCTGGGAAACCTATCTGGCACACCTGGCACACAAGAAAGGAGTAGAGTTCAGCTTCCAACACATCTGAAGTGCAGCCACTTGCTATGCAGGTCAGTGAAACCAGGAGTTAAGACACAAAAGACGAAAATTTGTAATAAACAGGGCACAGACCTAAAAGGATCAGACAGCCAGTCCCATGGAAGGAGTCAGTCTGAGTTTGGCAGGGGTCACTAGTGAAAGTGAGTGAGTAGAAGAAAACTGGAAGAACACTGCACCAACGCAGAGCATGAAGATATGGGATAAAAATGTTTAATCAATAATAAAAAAAAGGATTAATAAGAGGGCTGGAATAAGATCAGAGCTGAGAGCAGAAAACAGAAGTCAGATGGACACCTGGAGATGAAAATCCCAGTTTCCCACCCCCATCACAGGACAGGAGGAGCCTGAGGAGGAGGTTAATTGCAGTACCTACCAGGTGAGGTATTTATTTCTAGATGAGATGTCAAAACACGAGAGGCACCAGATGGACCTCTGAGCCTTGAAGCTCTGCTCAGCCATGGGGAAGTCAGAGAGCGAGAAGCCCAGCATAGGACTGCTGGGGATCAGCAGAAGCCGGAGCCTGCTTCATGAAAACAGACAGCAAGTTCTAGCTTGTTTGGCATTGCACAGTGAAGAGAAAAGCATGCAACTCCTATACTGATGAGAAAAGCATCAGACTGGGAGAACTAAGCAATCATAGTGCACATACGAAGTAAGAGACATGCATATACTAGGAAAAAAAATTATAATATCGGTGCAACAAAGTTCTGAAACTTCCCCTTCCCGGGAGACTGGGAACAAATGAATTACAGTGGTGTGCAATAAGGCACAATATCATTCAGAGTTTAGATTTGCTGACCTGCCATGTCCCTTCCTGTCCTACATTTAGATTATCTTTTATACAATGGATCTTGTACACTGCTTGCATTTTTGAAGCAAAAATCTTGGATGACAGCCTAGAATAGGATTATTAACTCATAACAGGACAAAAAAAAAAATCACATATCCTCATAGGTTCCTGCAATCCCCTCTCACCCTCCAATTTTGGCAGCCACTGTCCCTGTGTGAGGTGGAAAAACAAGCTTAAGTGAATCGAAGATAAACGAGATTAGTAGCCAGACAGCCCAAATTCTGAGCAAGTTCAGTAGGACGATTGCAACGTTACTGTAACTCTGCTGACTCCAACTTTTCTTTCAACTGATTTAGGCCAGAAGTTTCCTTGCAGCCTGACATGTTTCACAGCCTGCAGCATGTTTACTCAGAGAAATTCCTCAGTCTAAGGAATCTGAGAAAAACGACCAACAGTTCACAATGGTGATCTAGTACAGGGAGGAAAGACCATGGACGCTGTCTGGGGGTACCTCTAAGATCAGCGTACCCGAGCACTCCTTCCCCACCCCCAAGCTCTGGAATTCAGCTCCTGGTGCTGATGTTGCAAGAAGCCACTTCATCATCGCAGAGCTATTGAGCAAAAGGGAGGACGAGGCACGAGAGAAGTATGTGAATAAACCCAAGCAGAACTTGGAAGACCTCATCCCAAAACCACCGGATAACAGCATCTTTCAAAATAAAAGCCTGAAACCGGCCCAGCACCGGGCGCAGCCGCGGCAGCCCTCCACTACACGCCGGCGGATTCAGGGTCACGGCCAGGCACGGCGGAGCCACAGCCTGATGCACCTCACACCTGCCACCCGGGCCACCTCGCACCTCACACCTGCCACCCGGGCCACCTCGCACCTCACACCTGCCACCCGGGCCACCTCGCACCTCACACCTGCTGCCCGGGCCACCTCGCACCTCACACCTGCTG